TATATATAAAAGATGAATCAAACTAACATTCAAATACGATCTCAAACAGTAAACCAATAAAACTCTTGCTTTAGACTTCTTCAAAAAAAGTTATTTCACATTAATATTTATATAATTTTTTAAGATCTATAATTTAAAATTTACTTTTTATATTTTTAAAAATTTACTCAAAAAAACTTATCTTTAAAAGATATAAAAAAATAAACATTTTTTCAAGGTCCATATCTAAAATATTTTTTATTTTTATTAAAAAATATTATTATTAATTTTTAAAAAGTTCCACTTTAAATTTTACTTTAGGCTTAATAATATGTTGGATTGACTTTGCATTCAAAATAAATTTTCATCTATTAGGTCAAAATACGGTCTTAGACCTTTTTAAGTTTTAATGATAATAAACATAAACATTTTAAATTTTTTTTTTCAAATTATCCAATAAGATGAATGCATTAAGACAGTAAATTATCTCGACACTAAAAGTTTAACAAACAAAATACTTCATTTGTAAGATATTTATTTTGAATTCATATAATTTAAAATGTCTGATAACTAAATGAATATCTAGATATATGATTCCTTAACAAATTGAAGTAAAATAACTTTCCTGGTACTCACAATGACAAGACAAAAGAAATTCATGTTTTGTGTTAGAAAAATACATGTGAATCCCTTGAATCACGTAAATCTTTTTAAAAAGTTGTTTTTAGTTCCTTAAAGGTGATAAGTAGTTTTCTAATCATATAAGAAGTAAAAATTTGGTAAAATGCATTTAATACAAGCAATTCATGCACCAATGGACAATTCTTTCCACGAGAAACGAAAATTAAAGACAAATGAAAAAGACTATGAGAGATGCTCAAGAATTTGCAACGAACATCTTCACTAAAACACTTATATAAGGAAGTTTGAAGAGTCAGAAAGAAGTAGAGAATCACATGTTGTAAAATTACATTCATTATTTTTGTGTATAAGTCTTGTACTTAATATAGTTGTATCACATCTTGAAAGTAGAACAAACAACACACTTACCTTAGTTTTAACTTTGTGTTATCGCTTTGAGCTTGGAGAGGTTTGAAAAAAAAAATACTTGGGTGTTTGAAGTTTGGAAAGACTTTATGTTAAAAAATATTGGGTAGTTGTTTGAAAAAGCAAGTAAAAAAATATTTAGATTGGATTAGTAATGATTTTTGAAAGAATACATGTATCTTTGTAAAAAAATAGTGAAACTTGATCAAGTTTAATTAAAAATTATACATAGTCTTAATAGTTGAGACGAATTAGTATAAAAATACTTTGTGTTATTCTGACTTGCTCTTTTGTTTGCACTCCTATAATTTCTCTACTACTTTATTGTTTTAAAAAAGTGAATTTTTTATTGATACTATTTAACTCCCCTTCCAGTGTCTTTTTTTTCTTTTTCCACACTATGCAATTGAGAAGATTTGTAGGACAAAATAAGACATCTTTTTATAATTTTTTACATATTTAATAATATATTTATCTTTGTATTTTGGACTATATGATATATTATTGAAGATTATACTTGCTAGAAAAAAATACTTATTCAAAGTTTTCAATCCAAAGTCCTCAATCCTTTGTCCTCAAGATTGAAAATGGTGACTATACGTACAAAAAAAATTCAAATGACAAAGTGCGCAAGTATTCAAAGTAATATCAAATTTGAAGATGAAATGCATGCATGTATATATATAAAAAAAAATGTTATCATTAGTTGATAAGACATTTAAATGTATTTAAGATATTTTATTATCATGTAACTGTCAAGTGTTACAATTATACTACTTGTATGGGAACATACTTGGTAGACCCAATACTACTAAACCTTGAGAAATATTATTGTTCAATTGGTCAAGCTATCGAAATCCTTGCCATGTAATCACACTAGCCTTATTTTGGTATAGAGCCGATGACTAATAGGTTTTTGATATTGGAGTTTGGGGCCTACCTAGTATAAGAATAAATATGTTTTTTTTAACATATCTACTTTTTTTCTCTTTTACTTTTTTCATCTAAATAACTTAAAAAACAATTTATTGTCTATCCATTAATTACATTTTCTTTAAATATTTCATCATCCAAACAAATCATAAATAAAGAAGAGTGTTGGTGACATTCTCTCAATATTTACTCGTGCTTACTAACACTTATTTGTTATTAATTAAAATTTACAAATTTGTAGGTTTGCCATTTAACAAGTCTTTCTCTTAATTTAGTAGTAGAACTTATCAAAATTTATGATTTTTAATTAATAATATAAAAATCAATAAAAAAAAGGGTGTTAAAATGAACATAAATTTTTCATAAAACAAATAATATTTTATACCAAAATCATTAATATTAAATATATATGTTCTTCAATCAAAATTTGAGATTTGACTGATAACTTGAGCATAAAATTGCAACTAAAAATACTAAATACTTTTATAAAAATTATATGTCAAAAATTAATTACATCTCCTTATTAATATATATATA